CCTTTACACTCACTTCTATGTTTACAGAGGACCTTTACACTCACTACTATGTTAACAGAGGACCTTTACACTCACTACTATGTTTACAAACCTTTACACCCACTACCATGTTTACAGAGGACCTTTACACCCATTAATATGTTTACAGAGAACCTTTACACTCACTATTTTGTTTACATAGGACCTTTTCGCTCACTACTATGTTTACAAACCTTTACATCCACTACTATGTTTACATAGGACATTTACACTCACTACTATGTTTACAGAGGACTTTTACACACATTACCATGTTTACAGAGAACCTTTACACTCATTACTATGTTTACAGAGGACCTTTACACTCACTATTATGTTTACAGAGGACCTTTACACCCACTACTTTGTTTACAGAGGACCTTTACACTCACTACTATGTTTACAAACCTTTACACACACTACCATGTTTACAGATAACCTTTACACTCATTACTATGTTTACAGAGGACCTTTACACTCACTAGCATGTTTACAGAGAACCTTAAAACTCACTACTATGTCTACAGAGGACCTTTACACTCACTACTATGTTTACAGAGGACCTTTAAACTCACTACCATGTTTACATCTAGGACCTTTACACTCACTACTATGTTTATCACTGAATTAGATTCCCATAGACTTGTAGAGTGTTTTTCAAGGTGATGCTCTACTGTTCTACGGTTAAGCTCTAACACTGTAAGCATATCACCTCCCCAGCTGTGATATCTCTGTCATACCCTTACGGTATGGGTAGATAAGATTATGCTGTAACTGTCAAGTTGAGGTCTCACCTCTACACGATTGACAGATTTGCATGACTGAATATTTAGAGATCTTCCCCTGTCTCCTGGCCAACTACCTGTGAGGAAGATTAATATAACTGTGAATGTTTAAATGATGTCTCACCTCTACATACTTAGAGATCTTTCCCTGTCTCCTGGCCAAATACCTGTAAAGATCCAATCTAATTAAAATTATATCTTCACATCGCTCCCGTTTACTGATATGTCGCGTTGAAGATCTAACAACATCCCGTAGAGGGTCATGTTCAGGCGACCTTTGCATTAACCAATCAGATGAGAGCTTACGCATTTCTGTAAGTAATGATGTAATGATTTCGGAACACACTTGCTATGATAAAAGACCAAGAGGTGTCAAATGAGCATCGAAAATGGCGGGGCATGACACCGTGTCTATCTACAAGACAACGTTTGTACAATTTGTGGATTTTGCTTTGAAATAAGAGTGACTTCCTCTTCTGGTGATGTTGTCGTTCAAAAGTTTAACAACCTGAAACTAAAATTAACCAATGACAGGCTTCGCAATATTCAAACTATCACTGGACCAGACGATTTTGGGCTACGAGATGCTACTGGTCCTGCTTTCTGATTGGTTGAAAGAAAGAGTTATGTTGCGTTTTGATTGGCTTGTTATAAAAACGATAATGTATTCATGTTGACCTCTGACGTCACCCTCTATGGGATGTTGTTAGATCTTCAACGCGACATATCAGTAAACGGGAGCGATGTGACGATATAATTTTAATTAGATTGGTAAAGATCAATATAACTGAATTGTTAAATGATGTCTCACCTCTACATACTTAGAGACCTTCCCCTGTCTCCTGGCCAACTACTTAAGAGGAAGATTAATATAACTGTTAATGTTTAAATGATGTCTCACCTCATCCTCTGGGCGCACTAGATCTGTCCATGGGTTGAGACATTCATCTGAAATGATTTTTTTCTTCATACTAGGTGCTGAGAATACCACATGTAAGTTTTCTTGTCCGAGGAAGTCACAAGCCCACTGGTTAGCCTCCTCACCACAGTCCATCCCTGGTATTGGTAGACCCCACACCCTGTAACGCAGGTATCTATAGGTCACTGGCTATAACACTAGGGTCAAGTGTCATTCTCATACCTTGTCATAAAAAGTCACAGGGAAACTGAACACAAAGCTAACTAACACAGTGACATCCTACACTACAAAGGTCACATAGACATCCTACACCACAAAGGTCAGTGACATCCTTCACCACAAAGGTCACGGTGACACCCTACACTACAAAGGTCACAGCGACATCCTACACTACAAAGGTCACAGTGACATCCTACACTACTAAGGTCACAGTAACACCATACACCACAAAGGTCAGTGACATCCTACACTACAAAGGTCACAGTGACATCCTAGGATATCCACCACAAAGGTCACAGTGACATCCTACACTACAAAGGTCACAGTGAAATCCTACACCACAAAGGTCACAGTGAAATCCTACACCACAGAGGTTACAGTGACATCCTACACCACAAAGGTCACAGTGACATCCTACACTACAAAGGTCACAGTGAAATCCTACACTACAAAGGCCCCGCCCCGGAGCCCCCTTGGGGGACAGCCACACCATTTGTACAATTTTGAATTCCTGTCTCCCATGAATGCTTCCCACCAAATATGATCGATATCCATGGCATAGTTCTACAGAAGAAGTCGTTTATAACAATAAAGCCAAATTGTCCCCTTTTGGCCCCGCCCCTCAGTCCCCTGTGGGGTCAGCCCCTCCATTTGTACAATTTTGAATCTCTAATACCTAGGGATGCTTCCAGTCAAATATGGTTGTTATCCATCACTTAGTTCCAGAGAAGAAGTAGCTTAAAGCAGTATAGCCAAATAACCCTTTTTGGCCCCGCCCCTCAGCCCCCTGGGGGGTCAGCCACACCATTTGTACAATTTTGAATCCATACCTCCCATAAATGCTTTTCATCAAATATGATTGATATCCAGTGCATATATAGTTCTAAAGAAGTCGTTTAAAGCAATAAAGCCAAATTGCCCCTTTTCGGCCCCGCCTCTCAGCCCCCTAGGGGGTCAGCCCCACCATTTGTACAATTTTGAATCTCCACTACCTAGGGATGCTTCCAGTCAAATATGGTTGATATCCACATCTTAGTTCCAGAGGAGAAGTCGCTTAAAGCAATATAGCCAAATTGACCCCTTTTGGCCCCGCCCCTCAGCCCAACCATTTGCACAATTTTGAATCCCCACCACCTAAGGATGCTTCCAGTCAAATTTAGTTGAATTCCAATCAGTGGTTAAGAAGAAGAGGTCGTTTAAAGAAATTGTTGACGTACGGACGACGTACGGACGACGGACTTCACGGTATGGCATAAGCTCACCTTGGTCCTTCGGACATCAATTCAGGCACTCTTATCATTTCAAGGTAATTTCTCTGACAGATTCCATTTAATTTTCTTTTAAACTCCTTCTTTTAACAGTGAACTCTGTACCTGCAGGCAATAAATCGTCTTGGATCGACCTTTGGACATTTTGGTAACTGTAAAGTTGGCATCCCTGGGGCATCAAGATGGATCATGTCGTCATGACTACTGACTTTGATCAGCGCCATCTTGGGACACTGGCGTTGGCTAAGGAATGAACCATCAGGGCGAGTAAACATCCAGTTTCTGAAAATGTCAACAGCACATTTGAATTTTTTGAAAGACAACTATTTAGAGTGCTTTTGCAGATTCTATTGTCTTTCTAGATACACATCCTAATTGTAGGAAACTCTTTCCAAAATAATTCTGCTGGGGACTGACATGTGTAGTTCTTTGGTGGACAGGATTATTAACATTCTAACATTGTATATAATATCTTTCATATCCCTGTCAAGTTTTCTGTCTCTGTTAAGTCCTCCTGTGTCCCTGTCAAGTTTTCTGTCTCTGCTAAGTCCTCCTGTGTCCCTGTCAAGTTTTCTGTCTCTGTTAAGTCCTCCTGTGTCCCTGTCAAGTTTTTTGTCTCTGTTAAGTCCTCCTGTGTCCCTGTCAAGTTTTCTGTCTC